TCTAAATTCTGATTGCCTGGTCCCTTGGGTGTTGTTGAAGGGAAGAAATCAGGTTGAAAAGGAAATGGCAGAGAAGCCCTCTGCATCCTTGATAAGGTGTCCTGTATCTCTTCCTGTGAATGGGGAGAGTTTCTGGGAGGGCTGAATCCAGGCACACTCCAGGGTGTGCTTGTTCTCTTGTAGGAAACCTGAACCTGGGTCCCAGAGCCAAAAGCTCGGGGCACTGACCTTGCCTCTTCCTGCTGGGACCAACACAGTTAAGATTCTAGGTACCGACTCTCCTTATTTATAATCCTCCTGATGACAGCTGATGAGGGATGAGGAAGTGTGTCCACTCAGGGAGGTTCTGCCCTGAACCAGATGCTGTGGTTGAGGCTGTCTCTCGGCCTCTCCATCTTCTTCAGTGCCCACTGCAGAACACTTGCCACCTTGCCTTCCTTCTTGCTGGGTCAGTATTCTCCTCCCAGACAGTCTGGCCAGAGAGTGGGTGCTGCGTGGCACCACTGGCCTTTCCAGCTCCCTGTGTGATGGATGAGTGGGCTGCACATCTCCTGCCCCTGCTCCCACCCCATCCCCACCCTCACTTTCAGTGCAATGGAGAGTCCCCGGTTTTCTGGGTCCCCTGTGGCCTGAAGTCAGGATGCCAAGAGTTCATGAGGGAGGGAATTGGTTAAGGCCTGGGAGGAGCTTGGATTCCTTGGGTGAGCCCAGCTCATTTGGGGGAAGCATATTTTGTCCTGCCCTAGACCCAGATAAGTAGGACCCCATCCTCCTTGCTCATGGGCAGAACTTTTCTTTAGAAAAACTGAAGCCCCTCAGCCAGTCCTTTCAATCCAGGTCTTTCAGATGATCTCATCCAGTCATTTTCTGACTTCAAAAAATAATCTTCAGAGCCTTATACTCAAATAAAATCAAATCCAGAAGCCTAATAACTTAAACAGATTAAAACAGAGCTCTGCTTACTCATCTCTCTGCTACCTGCTCCTGCCCTTGGCAGCCCTCTAGGGGCCCGAGATAAAACCCCGGGGCTCCATGGAAACCAGCTTGGAAACCAGGGATACAGGAGAAGGGGAATGGGGAGTGTTCAATGGGTGCAGAGTTTTGGTTCTGTAAGATGAGAGGAGTTCTGGAGATGGATGGTGGTGACAGTTTGGCAGCAGTGTGACTGTACCATACACATGTGAATGGACTATGTGAATGTAATATCACTGCGCTGTACACTCAAAAATGGCGAAGATGACAACGGCATTCAGGACATGCTATGCCCAGATATGCACCTGGGCATTTGAGGAAGCAGAAGTTCTCTCTCACCTTTTCTGAAACTTGCCCCAAAGCGAGTCATAAGACCCTCATGTGAGATGTCCCCTCCCTTATACCCAGAGGAAAGGAACATTCTTACTTATCTCGGAAGAGCCAGAGATGCAGAGAAGAATCTGAGCAAGCAGGCCTTGCTAAGTACCCCCCCGTTTATGACCATTTATTTACATATATGTCTTTGGAGTTAGAGTCTCCCTCTGTTGCCCAGGCTGGAGTGCAGTGGTGTAATCTTGGCTCACTGCAACCTCTGATTCCCAGGTTCAAGCAATTCTCGTGCCTCAGCCTCCTGAATAGCTGCAATTACAGGCACGTGATGCCACACCTGGCTAATATTTGTATTTTTAGTAGAAATGGGATTTCGCCATGTTGGCCAGGCTGGTCTTGAACTCCTGGACTCAGTCAATCTGCCACATTACAGGTGTGAGCCACAGTGCCCGGCCTAGATCATACTTTTTTATCTGATCTCTTCATCAAATCTAGCATAAAAAATATTTGTTTCTTTGGATCTTATTTGTTTCTTTGGATCTTCATTTCCTTATGAAGTCTTCTGTGCAATGGAAAACATATTAAATAAATGTATATGCTTCTCTCTTGTTAATCTGTCTTGCTATGGGGGCTTTAGTGGTGAACCTAGGATGGTGAGAAAAAGATATTTTTTTCTCCCTTACTATGGTAAGTTTTGTGATGTATATTTTACTCCCCCTCCCCACAAAACGTAGTGGTGTGGTCCCATCTGCTGATGGGACACAGGCTGAGAGAGGGGAGTGATGCTGCCCGTTTCATGAGCTGCTCTGCGACCAGGTTTAAAACCTGAGTCTTTGTTGGCTGGAGTCCTGGGCTCATCCCACACAGGCCCTCTCAGCCAGACCGGGCTGAGGTCAGCGAGGCATCGTGTTCAACCAGGGAGAGTAAGAGGGAGAGTCAAGCAGAGCGCGCCACATTCCCGGGGAGGAAGGTGAGACGAGGAAGCCCCGCTCTCCCAAGTTCTCTTCGGGAGGGCCCACCAGCCCTGCTCATTTTGGGTGGGTTGCTACATTTTCACCAAATGAGTTTTTTAATTGCTTGATTTACTTATCTCGTCTCAGATCTGCTGATATACTCTGCTGCCTTTTAATTGCTTGAAAAGTTGAGCAGTTTTTCATGTTTTAAGGAGTGCTGAATTGTATAATTAAAACACTAACAGTGTAAATCAACAGTGCAGAAGAAAGACAGCAGAGAATTAAGCAAGTGTGTTGGCATTGTAATAAAATCAGACCAGCATGAGGAGGGACCATTACTGAGAAGACGCTGAATGCCAATGGTGCCCAGGCCTGGGGGGCAGGGAGCAGACCTGACCTGCCGCCTCCAGCCTACCTAGAATGGCTGGCAAGGGAGGGGAGTTGAATAGAGATTGCAAACTGCGAAAGGCTGTGTGGCTGAGGCTCAGGGGAGGTGCACAGCCTCTGTCATGGAAATGGCCTTTTTATTTTATTTTATTTTTTTGAGGCAGAGTCTTGCTCTGTCACCTAGGCTGGAGTGCAGTGGTGTGATCTCAGCTCACTGCAACCTTTGCCTACCAGGTTCAAGTCATTCTCCTGCCTCAGCCTCCCGAGTAGCTGGGACTACTGGCACGTACCACCATGCTCAGCTAATTTTTTGTAGAGACAGGGTTTTGCCATGTTGGCCAGGCTGATCTTGAACTCGTGGCCTCAAGTGTTTCACTAGCCTCAGCCTCCCAAAGTGCTGGGATTATAGGTGTGAGCCATTGGGCTCGCCTGGAAATGGCTTTTAATTCATGTGTGACTGGTGGTGTTTGTGGGAGGGGGGGCAGTTTGGAAGGGGGTGGAGGTGGGAACTGAGTGAGGAAGATGAAGGGGGCACCTGGGAGGGGATGCCTATGCCTGCTGAGCCTGCTCTCATTCCTGAGATTTCCTCCAGCTCGAGGGTGGGCTTGTAGGAGACACAAACTCCAGGACCACGTTCACTCTCCCCACTTCTGTCTCCTCTCCCTCCTCTCCCTCCTCCTTCTCTTCTGTTCCTTTTCTCTTTCCTCCTCCTCACTCCCCTCCCTCCCTTCTTTCCTCTCCTGTCTTTTTTCCTCTCTACTTACCCGCTGTTTGGTAAATGCACCTGATAGCAGTAACTTTAGCACAGCCTGAGAATGACCTCGTCTGGCAGACACACCTGAATGAGGCTTGGAGTTCTGAGCTCCGGATTCTGAGGAATCCGGAGGGGCCAACCCAGAGACTCCTTCCTTATCCACGAGGAGCATCTGAGCCGAGAGGGTGCTAAGTCAAAGTGCTGTAGAAACTGCATGACTTTTGCAAGCAGTTGGGGTTCTTCTGCCCAGCCTGCTGCCACTGGACTCTCTCCCCTCTGTGTAAGCCCCCAGTAAAACCCCGTGTTTCATTTGCTGGCCCTGGGTTTCTTCTTCAGCCTCTTGAAATTGGTGCAATTCCCATTGGAGATGATGGGCGTTGGCACAGCCCTCCCCTCTTTCCCTCCCTCCTCACAAAATAACTCATGTGCTGTGTGAGACAATCAGACAATCTAGAAATAGTCAATATAGGCCGGGGGCAGTGGCTCATGCCTGTAATCCCACTTTGGGAGGCTGAGGCGGGCAGATCATGAGGTCAGCAGTTTGAGACCAGCCTGGCTAATATGGTGAATCCCCATCTCTCCTAAAAATGCAAAAATTAGCTGGGCATGGTGGCATGCACTTGTAGTCCCAGCTGCTCAGGAGGCTGAGGCAGGAGAATTGCTTGAACCCAGGAGGCGGAGGTTGCAGTGAGCTGAGAGCACACCATTGCACTCTAACCTGGGTGACAGAGCAAGATTCTGTCTCAAAAAAAAAAAAAAAGAGAAATAGTTCATGTAAAATCTGGAAGTCCATCCAGGGCTTCTCCTAAAGCCCCCCTCTCCTCTTCCTTCCTCTTCCACCAGAGCAGGCTAGTTGGAAAATGGAGTACAGAGTAGAGGCTGATGGGGTTTAGGAGCCACTACCCTAAAATATGGCACCTGGCATTTGAGGAACAGCGGAAGCAGGAAGGTCTCTGTGGCCTTCTCCTTCCCTTCTCCCCTGAAACAGGCCATAGAGGAATTATCTGCCCTTGCTCTGAAGCAGGTCATAAGACCCTAACGTGGCCGGGCTCGGTGGCTCAAGCCTGTAATCCCAGCACTTTGGGAGGCCGAGGCGGGTGGATCACGAGGTCAAGAGATCGAGACTATCCTGGCCAACATGGTGAAACCCCATCTCTACTAAAAATACAAAACATTAGCTGGGCATGGTGGCGCGTGCCTGTAATCCCAGCTACTCAGGAGGCTGAGGCAGGAGAATTGCCTGAACCTAGGAGGCGGAGGTTGCAGTGAGCCGCGATCGCGCCATTGCACTCCAGCCTGGGTGACAAGAGTGAAACTCCGTCTCAAAAAAAAAAAAAACCAAAAAAATAAAAAACCCTAATGTGAGAGGCACTCTTCCTGTAGCCAGAGAAAAGGAGCATCCTTAACTCTGAAGACCCACGGACTTGCTAAGCCCACCTATGACCATTAGATCAGACCCTCTGTGTCCAATCCACTTCTGTGAGACTGTCTGCTCTTCCATGAACCTGTCTGTTTTTTTGGGTCTTCATTTCTGAAGGCTCAGGTGCCACATAACACATTAAATACATTTGTATACTCTTTTGTTAATCTGTCTTTTGTTACAGATGCCTCAGCCATGAATCTATGAGTGAGAAAAGAAATCTTCTTGGATAAATCTGGAAACCATCATTCTCAGAAAACTGACACAAGAACAGAAAATCAAACATTGCATATTCTCACTCATAGGTGGGTATTGAACAATGAGAACATGTGGACTCAGGGAGAGGAGCATCACACACTGGGGGCAGTTGCGGGGGGTAGGGGAGAGACAGCAGAAGGTGGGGAGGGAGTGGAGGATGGGGAGGGATAACATGGGGAGAAATGCCAGATATAGTGTGCACCTAAAGTAAAATTTAAAAAAAAAAAGAAAAAACCCATTCACTCATGAATTCAAATATTCATGGAGTAACTACCACGAGACATGCACTATATAAAAAAAAAATCTTCCCTCCCCTACAAGGTCAAGCTTCAGGTATGGGTCCTGCCAGGACCCATTTGGACCTGGCTGGAAAACTCTTATGCTAAAAACAGGTCGGTGTTTCTTGACTGTATAAGATGGACAACTGGCGCGGGGAGATGTTTCATGAAAGAGTCTTGAGGTCAATGAGTTTGGAAAATGCTGAGTTAAAAGAAATGAAATTTTTATTTTTATATTTTAACTGCAGAACTGCCTAGAATCTTTGACATCTTCCTCATCATGGCCTTCCATGCACATCTGCAGGTCAAGCTTCTCCGACCATGAAGCCGGTCCTTTCAGGTCTCACAAATACACAGCTCATGGAGTATGGGTTCCAGGGATGACACTCTGGGAAATGAGTTCTGGTGAAAAGAGCATTTTGCTAGAATCACATCCCAGATCCATCACTGCTCAGCCAGCTGTGTGAATTGGGTGAATCCCACAACCTCTCTGGGTCCCAGGTTCCCCACCTGACAAAGGAGGGTGATGGTGCCCACCTCTCAGGAGCTGTGTGGGGGGATTACTAGACAGTGCCAGAGAGTGTGCAGCTTGGGGCTGATGCAGTTGCTCCCTAGGGGGGAGGCCTTGGTGGCAGGACCTCCTCTTCCTGCACTGCCTCTGCCACCAGATGCAAAGGCTGATTGTCACTGAGGTGTGTCATGAGACCATGGGGGCTGGGGTGGGGAGTGGGGAGATGGAGTTAGAGTCTAGAAGACCGGGAAGGCTGAGTTGGAGCCAGCTGAAAGCAGGCTGGATAACTGAAAGCCGAGAGCTGGGGAGGAGGCGGAATAATCCCAGAAAGTGCAGTCACTTGCAGAACTGGGGATAGGGTAAGGCATCATCACCCTGGACACAAAATTTAAGGGGGCGCCAAAAATGTGCAAGATAAATAACATTCTAATGCAATATAAAAAATAATCAAAAGCCAATATTAGTGCACAAAAATTCCTGATGACTGAAGTGTCCTCTGGGCTTGGGCATGATGCTCATAGTCACAGGGCTGAGCTCCCTCTGGGTTTGCTAAGAACAGGAACCTCCCACCCACCTCCTGCTCTGCACAGGGCCCAGGCTGGCGGGTGAGCTCAGATCCACTCCTTCCTCTTGCCGCCCACTCTGGGCTCATCTCCTGGAAGCCCCTCTCGACTCCTCTCAGCTGGACAGGACCTTGCTCTGGAAGCCCTTGGGGCACTGAGTACCCCTCTAACAGCACTTGCTCAATCTTGGGTTTTAGGTGTTCTGGTTCGGTTCCCTCCCTTACCATAGCTTGAAATTCCTAAAGGCAGAGAATGTGTGCCTTCACGAGCTGTGTGGGTGCATTCAAAGTGAAATCCACCAGGAAAACCAAACTGGGGCATGAGAGGTGTGGCTGGGGTTAGGCTGCTCCTTCCTCAAGTGTGATGTCACTTTACTGGCACATCTTCTAGAGGTAGTGATGGGATACCCTGGATTGGAGCTGTTCATCGTTGTGCCTCTGATATGGTTTGGCTCTGTGTCCCTACCCACATCTCACCTTGAATTGTAATAATCCTTATGTGTCAAGGATGGGACCGGGCAGAGTAATTGAATCATGCTGCAGGTTTTCCCCACTTTGTTCTTGTGTGAGTGAGTGAGTTCTCACGAGATCTGATGGTTTTATAAACATCTGGCATTTCCCCCGCTAATACTCATTCTCTCTCCTGCCGCCCTGTGAAGAGGTGACTTCCGCCATGATTGTAAGTTTCCTGAGGCCTCCCCAGCCATGCAGAACTGTGGGTCCATTAAACCTCTTTTCTTTATAAATTTCCCAGTCTCTATAACTCGATCAAGACAGTTGCAGGTGGGCAAATGAAAAAAAATAAAAATAAATTACCCAGTCTCAGGAATTTCTTCATAGCAGCACGAGAACAGACTAATACAGCCTTTCAGAGGACTAGCACAGCCCCAGTCTAATGGCACTGGGAGCCCCTGGCCACTCTGCCATAGTAGTCATAACTACCATGGACACTGGTGGTTATAGACATTGTCCCGTTTAATATTCACAATCTTGCTGATTGCTGTCCCATTTTACAGGTGAGTAAACCAGTGCTTCAGGCAGTTACATTTGTGAGGTTTGTGAAGCTGATAAACCGTGGGCAGGGCAGGATTCCATGCCCAGGTCTCCCTGACTCCACACCCACGTGCTAAACCTTAGGCTGTGGGGGATACGTGGGGATGAGAACCCTCTCAACACCGGGGTGGAGATTTTGGGAGCTCTGATGACAGCTTTTCCTGTCCATGGTAAAGGAGAAAAGGGAAGACTCTCTCTCTCTAGACTCTCTGCATAGGAATATCTCTGTTCTATTTGAGGGGTCCTCTGTCTCTCCCTCCCCATCACAAACCACACACTGTGGCAGGGGCTGGTGGTGGGAGGTTGCTGGAGCTGCTCTCATTATAAAATTGCCTTGGAGATGGTCCCAGCCTCAGCCCACCTATATTGATAAGTCTTGGGCTGCAGACTTATTATTTGATATTTATAATACCCTGTTCTGCACCCTCATGATGGATGGTTCATACGTTGGGATCAATATGGGCCTGGTAACATTTACATATTTATATTATTAATAAGCAATAAGTCACCCAGGCAGCCCTGCTCTGGGTGTTCCATGCCTTCCCTGCAGACAGCTAACCTTGTCCTCCATCTCTTGCCTCAGCCCTGATGGCTGGTATTGATCTGCTCAGCTGGAAGGGGGCACAGAACAGAGCATGGAGCCAGGCAGTGTCAGAGCCGGGGAAATGACACTGGTGTCTTTTGCCTTCTGTTTGACCCACCAGCTCTTGACACTCCAGCATGGAGGGGGACCCTCCTGTGTGGTCTTCTGCAGACAGCAACCACCTGGCTGGTGGATGGCTTTCTCCTTAATGCCTCCTCATCCAGCTTGCCATCTCTGTCCTCTCTGCCCTCCCCCCAGGTCCTTGGTGGTGCATACCTGGATGCTGACCTGCCTCTTCTCTGCCTCCAGCCATCCACACTCCTGTGTCCCACCTGCTCTGCTGCCAGAATTTGCTTCTCACTGCCCTGCCGAGTGCCTGCTTGGGGTCACCACTCTGCTCTGAAATCTCTCATGCTTTTCACCTGCTGACTCCTCTACCCACCTTCAAGACCCGTGGTCATCTACCTGCTGGCTGACCTGGTGTCCTGCCTTTTCCCAACCTGCATCTCTGCTAGCCTGGCCCATATCTTGCCATCATCCAACACATGTGCATGCACACACATACACATGCACACACATACACATTCACATACATGTGCACACACACATGCACACACACATACGTGCACACACACACTTGTTATACTCACCTCTTGGTTTATTCTGGTCCACCCTCCTAGAATGCCCTTCCAGATATCTCTGCCAGCACAAAAGTCTACTCCTCCTGTGAGGTGACCTCAAGTTCCATCCACCCTATAAAGTGCTGCCCAGGTTTTCTAGTGAGTACCAACCGTCTTGCCTCTCAGCAGCTCTCCTGCAATTATTTTTGCCTATTCCAAAACATTTATTTTTGAATTTTAGTTTTTAAATATTTATTATTTGTTTATTTTGAGATAGTATCTTACCTTGTTGACCGGGCTGGAATACAGTGGCACAATCATAGCTCACTGCAGCCTTAAACGCCTAAGCTCAAGCGATCCTCCCGCCTCAGCCTCCTGAGTAGCTGGGGCTACAGGCATGCACCACCCTACCCAGTTAATTAAAAAAATATTTTTTTTTAGAGACAGGGTCTTGCTATGTTTCCCAGGCTGGCTCCTAACTTCTGGACTCAAGTGATCCTCCTGCCTCAGCCTCCTAAAATGCTGGGATTATAGGCATGAGCCACAGTCCTCAGCCTACAAGTATTTATTGAGTGCTTACTATGAGCCAGGGTACTGAACTAGCTTTTTGGGTTATAGCAGTGTCAGAACAGTCATAATCTTCAAGAGCTTAAATGTAGCATGAAAGAAAGGCATTTATCAAAGAATCACACAAAGGAATATAAAATTAAATGGAGATCTGTGTAGGGAAAGAGGGCTCATTTGGTAGCAGTGGGGCTGGTCTGATCAGAGAGAGCAGAAAAGGCTTCTTAAAAGTGTTGGAGGCTGAAACAGGTGGATAATTTCAGGTCAGGAGTTTGAAACCAGCCTGGCCAACATGGTGAAACCCCATCTCTATTAAAATGCAAAAATTAGGAGGGCACTGTGGCAGGTGCCTGTAATCCCAGCTACTCAGGAGACTGAGACACTAGAATAGCTTGATCTTGGAGGGGTGGAGGTTGCAATGAGCTGAGATCATGCCACTGCACCCCAGCCTGGGCGACAGAGTGAGACTGCACCTCAAAATAAAAAAGGTATGCTTTGGTTAGCTGGACGTGGTGGTGCGAGCCTTTAGGCTTGGCTATTGGGAAGCAGAAGCAAGAGGATTGCTTGGGCCCAGGAGGTTGAGGTTGCAATGAGCCAAGATCATGCCACCCTACTCCAGCCTGAGCAACAGAGCAGGCTGCTTCCCTGTCTCAAAAAAAACCAAAAGTGCGTGTTGGAACGGGGTAAGTCGAGTGCATCTTAGGCTAAGGGAGCAGCACGTGCAAAGGCCGGTGGCAGGAGGGAGCACAGAGTTTGGCGAGCTGAAAGAAGCCCATGCAGCTGAAACAGACAGCAGTGCAGGGAGTGGGAGGTGGATATGGAGGGGGTGGAATGGGTGGGTGCTACAGGGGCTGGGCCTGGCAGGGCCCATCCTAGACAATGACAGGACATGGGCCTTTAAGCACACCAGGAAATTAGTGGGAAGTTTTCAGTGGAGAGATGATTTGGTATTTTACAAAGCTTGCTTTCGCTGTGTGGCCAGGTGAGAGGGGAGAGGCCATGGGGGTGGGGGAGGCTATTAGGGAGCCCACTGCGATGGACAATGCAGGAGACGGGGGTGGAGACGGCTGTGGGGATGGAGAGCAGTGGACCAGTGTGAATGGTATTCAGGAAGCAAGACTATCGGGACTCAGTGACATTTAGATGTAGGTGCGGGGCGGGAGGAGGAGGCAGCAGCGTGGCCAGCTGAGGACTGTGGCCTTGGACAAAGCTGCTCTCTGACCTGGGGGAGCAGAATAAGGTAACCTGATGTTGGGAGGTGGGGGTGGGCACAAGGTTGGATCTCGACTTGTTGAGGGTGAGGGTCTTCGATGCACACAGGAGGTGATTGTTGGATATGCAGGTGGGGAACTCATGGGAGAGACTGTCTTGGGACATAGACAAAAACGAAGATGTGGCTGGCAGAGATGAGAATGCCAGGGAGAAAGAAGAGAGAGAAGAAAGAGGCCAGGATGGAGTGTGGGATTTCCCCCTCGTCTGCTTCCCGCAGTTGTGTACTTCCTTCTGCTCCTCCGCGGGCACACGGTAGAGCTCCAGGCCTCATTTCTGAGTGAATGCATGCTTATTCCATCGTCTTTTGGTTTCACATCTGTGTTTTCCTCCAGCTGTATTAGAGGCACGATGTGTTTTGGCTTAGTGCCCGCCTTCCTTTGCAGCCATATCAAATACCTGCTGGCAGAGGAGGCCCTTCCCTGTGCCAGGCCTCCATGGACCCCTGAAGGCTCACAATTCAAATAAGGAAACTGAGTCTGGGAGGAGCTGATTGACAGTTATTTAAATGTGTTTCAGTTATCTATTGCTGTGCAACAAGCCAATTTAAAACTTCCTGTCTAAAAACAATAAGCATTTATTTTGCTTAAGAATCTGCAGTTTGGGTAGGTGTGGTGGGGACAGCCCATTCTGCTTCTTGGAGTATCACTTCAGGAAGCTGGACTGGGGCCGGAAGATTCATTTCCAACATGACTCATTCACATGTCAGGTGGGATCTGGTTGTTGGCAAATGCCATCGATTAGAACACTTTCCCAGCCCAGCTTGGTGGCAAATATCTGTCATCCCAGCACTTTGGGAGGCTGAGGCTGGAGGATAGTGAGACCCTGTCACCACACACACAAAAGCCAGACATGGTGGCAAATGCCTGTAGTCCCAGCTACTCAGGAGGGTAAGGTGGGAGGATTGCTTGAGTCTGGGAGGTTGAGACTACAGTAAGCCATGATCGTGCCATTGCGTACCAGCCTGGGAGACAGAGCAAGACTCTGTCTCTAAATAACAAATGAACAAACACCCCCCTACCCTGCCTTTCCTGTGAACAGAAAATACAGAAAATAAGATCCTTTCCTGGGGGAGGGGTTTTGACGCCCCAGCCTCTGTCCCTCTTCTCCCCAATCTGCCCCTCTGGAGGGTGGCCCTTCTGGGTGACCCACACTCTGCCCCCACACATCATCCAGCTCATACCTGCCTGGTTTTGGCATCTCGCTAGGCCCTCATGCTCCGTTTGAACGATTTCCCTCCAGGCGGGTGTCTGCCTCTCTGTGACGCCATCTCCATGAATATTTACCCTGATGGCAGTTATTTATTTAGCTCTTTGTTCTCTCCCTTCTTCTAGAAAAGGTTTAGGACAGATAAAAAGAATGCATAAAATATAAGAAGACTGGCATAAATGAAGAGTTTGGTCAAACAAGAATGATGTAAAATGGAGCAGACGTAAAACTAAAGATGCGTGTCCCTGTGGGATACACGTTGAAACAACTTTGATTCTAAGTTTTCCAATAATCACAGTGAAATGGGTCACATGGTAAGTACATGGTTCACGGTGTCTAGAAGATGAAAGGGATCAGGAGCTATTACTGAGCCAGGGGAGAAAACTTCAGACAGATCCAGAACTGAGAAAATACTGCAAATCATACTTTAAGCATCGCTCGAACCCAGTGGTTCTCATCCGGGGGTTATTTTGCCCCCAAGGTGAAGGCTGCTGATGTCTGGAGGCATTTTGATTGCCACAGCTGCAGAAGGGTCAGGGACTTGCTGCTGGCATCTAGAGAGTGGGGGCTGGGGTGCCCCACGCATCCTATAAAGCACACAGGACTGCTCCCAAATATACAATGATCTGACCCAAAATGTCGACAGAGCCCCAGTTAGGAAATCCTGACCTGCCGGGCGCGGTGGCTCACGCCTGTAATCCCAGCACTTTGGGAGGCTGCAGCAGGTGGATCACCTGATGTCAGGAGTTTGAGACCAGTCTGACCAAAATGGTGAAACCCTGTCTCTACTAAAAATACAAAAATTAGCCAAGTGTGATGGTGCGCACCTGTAGTCCTGGCTACTGGAGAGGCCGAGGCAGGAGAAACGCTTGATCCCAGGAGGCGGAGATTGCAGTGAGCCGAGATCGTGCCACTGCACTCCAGCTTGGGCAACAAGAGTAAAACTCCATCTCAAAAAAAAAAAAAAAAAAAAAAAAAAAAGAAATCCTGATCTAACATTTTCTTCGGGCTGGAGATACAGCACTGCCTTCAAAGACAGTCATTTGGGTGTGTGTCACTTATCCCTCTGGGAAAGTCTCAGCACACCCTGGCCTGATAGTGAATATCTTCTCTGGGGAATAGTGTGTTATCCTTATGGAATCTTACAATGAGAAAGCTACATGATCTCTGGAAGGTGGTGTGATTTAGAGGAAAGGAGCTGGAGCTCATAGTGAGCTCTGGGTTCACAGGCCAGGCCAGAGGCACACCAGATGTGTGCAGCTCGTTATGATAGAGCACACGGGCAGCCGGTCCCCACGAGTTGATGACTGCAAACTTCCTACACTGAGCTCAGCACAGGGGAGGGGCCTGGGAAAGATTTTCTTTCTTTTCCTTTATGTGGGGGTCTTAAAAAAGTGACCCTAAATTCTTTGTTGTTTCTCTCATCGAAAGGCGGAGTCTATGTCTCCTCCCTGGAATCCAGGCTCTGTGACCACTTCATTGATAGAAAAGGTGGAAATGATGCTGCGTTCATTTCTGGGACAAGGACTTCAGAAACGAGAAACTTGACCTACTTGCCTCTCGAAGGAGTGCTCTTAGAACTCGCCATATTGTGAGGAAGCCAACAGCATATGAAGAGGCCAAGGTAGCGTTCTGGCTGATGACCCCAGCTGAGGTCACAGGTGACAGCTAGTAACAACCACTAGAGAGCAATGATGGCTTTGAGATGACTTCAGTCCCCACCATTGGGTCACCCCCGCCTTTGAGCTGCCCCAGCCTGTGTCATGTGAGCAGAGATGAGCTGTCTTCCCTGGCTCTGCCCAAATTTCAGATTCAGGACCCAAGTACATGACTGCTGTTGTTTTAAGCATCCCAGTTAAGGTGGATAGGTATGAAGTGGGAGATAACTGAAATATCTTTCTTCATGTTCCCTTCTGATGATTCAATGATTTTTTTTTTTTAGCATCCAGAATGAGCTGGCCACAATTCTAGATGCTATGAATAGAGTAGTGGAAAAACAGACAGGAATCCTCAGGGAGCTTACATTCTGTGGGGGAAACAGACAAGTAAGAGAAATAAATAAAATAGATGGCTTGGAGGTGGCAAAACATACTAAGAAGGAAAAAAAGGCAGAGAAGGGAATAGAAAGTTGATAAATAGGGTGGCCAGGGAAGGCCTTCCAAGCAGGGGGCATGGCGTAAAGACTTGAAGGCAATGAGGAGCCAGCCAAGGGCATGCCTGGAGGAACAGCTTTCTAGACGGAGGGAACAGCCAGTGTAAAGGCCCAGAGGCAGGACTGTGCCTAGAGTGTGCCAGGAATATCCAGGGTGGCCCAATGGGGGATGCAGGGAAGTCATAGGATGTGAAATTAGGATGGTGGTGGTGGGGTCAGGCAGTGAAGGGGCCCATAAGGACTTTTTGCCCTCATGGGAGGGCTTTGAGTAGAGGAGTAAATGCATTTTAACAGGATCACTATGACTGGGTGGTGGGGGGCGGCTCAAAGACGGAAGCAGGGAGACCATTTGGGAGGCCATTGCAATAATCCAGGTGAGAGCTGATAAGCCAGGTCCGTTACTTAAATCAGGATGGCAGCAGTGGGGGTGGTCGAACGTGGTCAGAATCCCAATATATTTTAAAGGCAGAACTACCAGGATTTGCTGAAGGATTAGATGGATGTGGATGGAAGGAGAGGAGTCGAGGATGTCTCCAAGGGTTTGGCCTGAGTAACTGGAAACACGGATTTACCATTTCTCACTGAGATGAGGAAGGTGGTGACGCTGGCTTTGGCACAAAGGGAGAAGCTTCAGAAGTTCCATTTTGGGCATGTTTAGTTTAAGATCCAGCCTGTGGTCACCAGCCTTCAAGATAACCCAATGACTACAACTCTTTTTTTTTTTTTGAGAGGGAGTCTTGCTCTGTCACCAAGGCTGGAGTGCAGTGGCACCATCTAGGCTCACTGCAACCTTCCGCCTCCTGGGTTCAAGCAATTCTCTGCTTCAGTCTCCTGAGTAGCTGGGATTACAGGCATGATCCACCCACCTTGCCCTCCCAAGGTACTGGGATTACAGGCATGAGCCACTGTGCCTGCCTGGCCTTTTTTTTTTTTTTCTTTTTGAGACAGAGTCTCACTTTATCACTCAGTCTGGAGTGTAGTGGTGTGATCATGGCTTACTGATGGGCTTAAGTGATCCTCCTACTTAGCCTTCTGAGTAGCTGGGACTATAGGCAGGTACCACCACATCCAGATAAATTTTAGAAAATATTTTTTGTAGAGATGAGGTCTCACCAGGTTTCCCAGGCTGGCCTCCAGCTCCTGGGCTCAAGTGATCTGTCCATCTCAGCTTCCCAAAGTGCTGGGGTTACAGGCGTGAGCCACTGCAACTGGCCAGGCTCCACTTCTTGGTATTCACACCTGTGTATAGTCCCCTCCCATGCTATACCTGGGTTGGTCAGTGTGGCCGATAAAATATGCCAGTGTTGAGATTAGGTTGTAAAAGACTGTACCCCCTGCCTGCCTCATTCTCTGTCTCTCTTTCTTTCTTGGGTTATTTGCTTTAGGAAAAGCCAGCTGTCATATGATGAGCAGCCCCATGGAGAGGGTGTGTGGGAAGAACCTGGAATCTCCAGCCAGCAGCCATGTGAATGCATCATCTTGAAAGCAGATCCTCCAGCCCCAGTCCAGCCTTCAGATGACTGCAGCCCTGGCCAATATCTCAACTGCAGCCTCATGAGAGAACCCAGACTAGAACACCCAGCTGAGCCCTCCTGGATTCCTGACCCTCAGAAACCATGTGAGATCATAAATGCCAGTTGTTTTAAGCTGCTGAGTTTTAGGGTTGTTAGCTAGCAATGGATACCAAATACAGGTCTGCATGAAACATACAAGTAGACAGAAGTAGGCAGTCAGGTCTACAGTTCTGATATTCAGGGAAGCAGTTCAGGCTGGAATATAAATTTGAGAGTTATTAACATATAGGTGATACTAAAAGCCAAAAGGAGCAAAGGTTTCTCTTTTCTTTTTCTTTTGAGGTGGAGTTTCGCTCTTGTTACCCAGGCTGGAGTGTAATGGTGCAATCTCGGCTCACTGCAACCTCCGCCTCCTGAGTTCAGGCAATTCTCCTGCCTCAGCCTCCTGAGTAGCTGGGATTACAGGCACGCGCCACCATGCCCAGCTAATTTTTTGTATTTTTAGTAAAGATGGGATTTCACCATGTTGACCAGGATGGTCTCGATCTCTTGACCTCGTGATCCACCCGCCTCAGCCTCCCAAAGTGCTGGGATTACAAGGTTTCTCTTTTCATGGAAGCTTTCTCAGCTTCCCCACTCCCTCTTCCATGCTCTTATGTTGGCTTGCCCGTGCTGTGAGGTTGCAAGGTAATGGCTTTTCTGTATGCCCATCTGACTATTAGGTTCTTTTTTGTTTTTTTGAGATGAAGTCTTGCTCTGTCACCAGGCTGGAGTGCAGTGGCATGATCTCAGATCACTGCAACCTCTGCCTTCTGGGTTTGAGCAATTTTCCTCAGCCTTCTGAGTAGCTGGGATTACAGGAGCATGCCACCATACCCAGCTAATTTTTGTTTTTTCTTAGTAGAGATGGGGTTTCATCATGTTGGCCCGGCTGGTCTCGAACTCCTGACCTTGTGATTCACCTGCCTCGGCCTCCCAAAGTGCTGGGATTACAGGTGTGAGCCACTGCACCCGGCTTGACCATTCGGTTCTGAGATAACTGAGTCTTCTTTGGATCTTCTTCTAAACTTGGTGCAAACTGGAGGCGCTTAATAAATGCTTTTGGGATGCATGAATGCATATTGGACACCATATCTGACTGTGTCCCTTTTTGCATGATTGGGCTAACTTCCAACTGCCAGCTTTGGCCTCTCAGAGCCTTGGGAGGCCCCTCAGCCTATATGTGCAGCAAGCCAGAAAAGCCTTGAATGAGCATCACCCAGAAGCAGCCTCAGCTGAGGATGATCATGAGTTGACATGCAAACATCTCAGCTTACCCCTTATGTAGGTTTGGGAGTGGATGGTTTCAGATCCTGCGTTTTGTGTCATTTTGAGTTTCCCCACAGGATGCAGCCCTAGTGCCCCTTTTGGCAGTGGGCTTATGACAGCCCTTCCCTGAATGCCTTCCCTTCTCTGGGTCACTTCCTTGTTCTCCTGCTGGGGCTCCCCCCATAACCAGTACCTCTCAAATAGACGATTTGTGCTCAGCTCCACTCAGGGTCTGCTTCTTAGGGAACCAAGCCACGATTATGGAGAGGCAGAGCCTGGATATGTGGAGAAGCAAGGTGCCCCCAGCCCAGGCCTCAGAATTGCACAGAGGACATCTGGAGAGCTGAGCCCCTGGTGATGTGACCTTGCCTGATGTGCAGAGAGGACACTGGGCCTTCCAAAGCTGGACCCAATTTTAGAGCGTTGCCGAGCCACACCTCTGATCCGGGAGCCCTGTTCTTGGTTTGAAACTTTCACCTCGGCAGGGCCTCTGTCTACCTTGGGAGGGGAGAGCAGGTCCAAGGGTGATGTCAGCTGCCTCAGCATAGAGCCTGCAGCTGGCACTGCTGGGAGGCATGGCAAGCTTTCTGCACAGAAGAGGCTGTTCCCAGGCAGATGGCACTTTGCTAACATGTTGGTGGTGTGACCGCATGGTTTCCAATGCTTAGAGTGTTTGTACCCTTCACAGGGGCTTCCCCTGAGGGGTTACAGGAGGGAGTCAGACCGCATCTGGCTTCTGGAAAACCCCAGTTTTTACCAGCCTCACCTTCCACCTGGAGCCCCTTCAGCTCTGCCTTTTGTTCTCCCCCTTCGATCCTAGTCCCTTTCTTCAGCTCTCAGGGTCCGGCTGTTGTATCCTGCGGGGCTTGGCTTCCACCTGACCAGTGAGAACTGGAGCTTGGTGGGTGGGCACTGGCCTGCTCGGTGTCTCCCTTCTTATCCCTGTTCACCAGGGAATGAAGGTTCCAGGGCAGCACAGGATTTACTGTGAAAGATCCTGAGCCCGTGGCTCCTACTCAAAACCAGATTCATTCGTGACTTCCATTACCCAGGCACTGGCTGTGTTCTAAGCTGGGAGATGCCACAGGCGGTGTAAAGACCCAGTGGGTCCACCCTCAAGAGAGTAGGCAAGATAGAGCAGAGGAACAAGAACAGAGCAGGGGAAGCCATCAGTGCCCCATGAAGAAGCCGGATAGCTCTCGTAGGGGCCTCCTTGTGCTAGATGCCTTCATGAACAAGCATTCCTGAGGTCCTTCCAGTGGGGCGGAGAGCTGCTCCTCCCCATAGCCACCCTCAGCCTTTCCTGACTGCTGCTCTGTGCTGGGAGGCAGAGCTCCGTAGACTGCTCACTAAGCTATCGACTCAGGTCACAGAGAGAGGGTGGGGATTTTCCCAGCCTCCGACTCCTGTCAAAGCCCTGTTCCCATTCTGCAGCCTTCTACAGCGAAGGGACAGCTGTGCTTTCTCCAGGCACTCACTTGTTGCACAAAAATATGGTTTCCCTAAACCCTGCCCACATCTTGGAATAAAGCCGCTTCCAGGGCCAGCTGTGTGGGCCTGTGACCCACGACGTCATCCTGTTCCCGGCGCTTAGAAGGGTCCACGTCTGCTCTAATGCCCTGCTGTTATCATCTTGAAATTCTTAACAGTTTTTAACCAAGGGACCTGCATTTTCCTTTGCTCTAGATCTGCAGGTTATGTAGCTGTTCTTGGTCCCTTGTCTAAGGCTCCCTGGTCAGCCTGTTGGCAGGTGCCATCTGCTTGCTGCCGGCTTCATTTTTCATCAGCAAACAGAGGTTGAAGGAAGCCTAATAACTTGCCTGAGACCATAGAACTAGTAAGTAGCAGAGCCGGGATTTGAATGTGCAACTTCCACCTTGGTAGCCCCTGTTTGAGTCCCCAGATGAAACGCCTGTGATGTCAGTCTGCAGCACTTTGCATATAAACTGATTGCTCCTCCCTGGTGGGAAAGTCACGAGGCTTCCGGTGGCCCCTATTTCTCTCCTCCTGATTCTGGTGGTTTTCCTGATTGCCTTGGCCCAGCCGTGCTCAAAGCCTCCCGCTGGCCTGAATCACAGATGCAGCTGCCCTGACCTCCTGGTGATGGAGAGGCCAGGCCTCTCCCTGATCACATGAGCTGGGTTCCTCCATCCCTACCAGCCTCCCCTCCTGTCTGCCACTTGCTGCTCCCAGCAGAGAGACCTTCACTCCTCAGTGCAGCCTTGAAGCTCAGGCCTGGACATGATGGATGAGAAAGGGAAATTTGGAAAGGACTTAACGTTCTTACCAGCTGCCTCTAATTTTATTTTGAAGAGAAGAAAGAGAGGGGCATTGGCAGACAGGAGACGCTTCCCCTGATGGAGCTGAGCTGGGAGTCAAGATAAATGAAGGCTCCTTTTGGACACTTGTTCCAACCCTCAAACTCTGTTTTCCTGGCAGACAGGCACGTGATCACACCCTGCCGGGGGGCCCTGGGTGAAGCTGCTGTTCAGATGCCCATTGGATGTTGGGGGTCTGGAAGGTTTCCACCCCTTTCAGCCTTTGATCTTGGCCTTTCTGGTCAGCCTAGTCCCTTTGGAGACCACTGGACCTCCAGAAAAATGGGAAGGACTCCGACTCTGGATTCAGACAAATCTGGGTCCGCTGCTCTTTCATTTCCTGCAGGCCAGCAGGTGCAATACTGAACCAAACCCGAAGGGCCCTGCGGTGAATGAGTTTGGATGCTGTCTCTGCCACGTCCTAGCAAGGCGACCTTGAGCAAGCTCCTTAACTCTCAGAGCTTTGTTTTCCTTCTCCGGGACACAGGGGAAGTCGCACCGGTTCTCAGCATAAATGTGAGCATGGAGTTTTTGCATATAAGAGCTTTGCTGTATGTTTGACACACTGTTCTGACTCCAGTGTACTAACCACTGGCATTATTTGGCAAAGGACGGTAGGCAAGACACAGCTTGGAGGGTGGTGGTCTGAGGGGAATGGTGTCTGGTGTCCCAAGTTTGTGCCCTGTTTATAAATGCCCAGAATCCAGTCCAGCACAGAGGAAACAATTGAAAAAGAAAAAAAAAAAAAACATTCAAGTGGCAGCATCCTCTTCCAGCTGCAGGTTTGTAGCTCCAGGGCGGACCCAGCCCTCCTTCCTCCCTTGTTATTTAAAGTCGAAGGGGTGTGTAAATCAACCAAAATAATTCACGAGAATCATTAGCGACTTTAAGGCGGCATCTTTTTACCAGCAGCATTAAATTAAAAACAGCGCAAAACTGCGGCTTTTTAAAACACATCAGCTCTGTTTCCTCCCTCCTGCCTGCTGTAATAGAAAGCTTCTGGGATCTAATGAAATGGAATTAGCATCTCCAATCCCTCTCTGGCTACTGGTTACATAAAAGCATCTCTCTGGATGGAGAGCTGAAGGGAGAAGTCAGAATTGCTGTCCACCCTTCTCTGCCAGTGCCCTCGCTCCGTGGTGGCCACCTGTCTAGTTCAGTGGCCAAGCTGCAGTGACCACGTTGCCGAGGGGCCCGAAAGGCACGGTCGTTCTGTTTGGCCATCTCTCGTTTCTGCCTCTGCAGAGACCCTGCCCAGCTCAGCAGCGCTCACACCAGCTCCTTCACAGTTTCCTGTGATAACTGCCCATGAAGACGGTCTCCCCCTAACCCCATTTTGGGTACTTCTCACCTGGTGTCCTCTATCACACCCCTAAACCCTCAGCCAGTTGGGCACGCAGCCTGTACACTTTGTGGTCATCCCTCTCCGTTACCTGCCTCCCACTCCTCTTCCTGGCCTTATGAGAAATCCTGTAACCCTGCTGATGAGAAAGTCACGAGGCTTCCGGTGGCCCCTATTTCTCTCCTCCTGATTCTGGTGGTTTTCCTGATTGCCTTGGCCCAGCCGTGCTCAAAGCCTCCCGCTGGGCTGAATCACAGAGGCAGCTGCCCTGACCTCCTGGTGATGGAGAGGCCAGGCCTCTCCCTGGTCGCCTGAGCTGGGTTCCTCCATCCCTGCCAGCCCCCTCATCTACCACTTACTGCTCCCAGCAGAGAGACCCTCACTCCCCAGTGCAGCCTTGAAGCTCAGGCCTGGACATGATGGATGAGAAAGGGAAATTTGGGAAGGACTTAACGTTCTTACCAGCTGCCTCTAATTTTATTTTGAAGGGAAGAAGAAGGAGAGCCATTCTCCTGGGCTGTTTCTAAGTGTTCTTTTAGGAGTGTTCAATGGGGGAGCTGTGGCATTTGGATCGTGAGGATAGTAACAGAGGCCCCCAGAAGCCTGGTGACTTTCCCAGGTGGCTGGTGCCTTGTAAAGAGCTGGTAAACAATCCTTTCTCCTATGGTTATGGTTCCAATAGGCTGTGAATTCTATGAGAGCAAGAGTGAGTGTCTCCTACCCTCCACTTCCTCTCTGATACCCTGAACTCTACTGAAGGCAGCAAACCCTTGCTGAATTGTTGTTGAAAAAGGAATGAATGAACACCAAGTTTGGAATCAGGGTCTGTCTTTCATTTACCAACTGTGGGACCAAGGGATGTGCCCCTGCCCTGAGCAGCCACCGTTGCTGCTGGGACTGTCGTGTGCATCACAGGATGCTTCTCTCATGCCCACTTGATTCAGGAGTGCCCTCTCCAGTCACAGCACAAAGGAAAAACGCCCAACACCTTTCAAGTGCCCTGGGAGTTTGGTGCCATCCTAGCTGACAAACACTGACTTCCTTCCCTCCTCCCAGACATGCGCTTGTTAATTCTCTGATTTTTCTAAAATAAGATCATTTCCATATTTTCCTTAGAAACCTTGGCTGACTCCCAGGGACTTAATTCCCGGTCTCACTGTCACAGCCAGGATAAGGGTGTGTCTGCACAGCGAGTGGTGGGGTGGGTGGAGGGAGCGGAGGGGGCGTGGGCATTACCTCTCCTTGGCGGGGGCTGCCCCTGACCTGCAGCCTGCCTCCCCCAAGTCACAGACTATAAATCTTGGAGTTTGCTCATAGCAGGATGTCCCCACATGCCTGTGTGTGGTAGAAAATAAAGTCCTAACTCCTTAGCGTGGAGCCCGAGAGTTGCAACTCCTGGTTGAGCCATTTCTCCTGCTCCCAGAGCCTCCTGCCTTCTTAGCACGTCCCTGCTGTCCTGGCTGTGATGCTCTGCCTGTGTCTTTGCATCGTCCCCTCTCCAGAGACAACGCTGAGGCTCACGCAGAGGTTATCACAGGCAGAGAAGAGGCTGCTTTTCCACTCCCAGGTCCACGCTCTGAAACTGTCTTAAAGTTACTCTTCACTCCATTCACTCACCCATCCAGGCTCTGAGTCTGCATGCCTCAGCCACTTCTGATTTGTCTGTCGCTGTGGGGGGCAGTCCATGCATGCTAAAACCACTCTCTGATCTCAAGTGCACCCTGAATCTCTGCCTGGGACTGTCCCCAAAGTGGGAAGGAGTATTCCTGCAGGTACAGTTGGAAAAGCAGGAGAATCAAACCTCAGCTGATGGGCAGGGAGCCGATGGGGAAATGCCTTAGTCTGCAGTCTTCCAGAGGAACCATCACAAGGCACCCCATGCCTGGCTTTGCAGAGGGGCCCTAGTGGGGTTGAGTCCTGTTGTCCGCAAGAGTGACAAACCCAAGAACGCACCCCTCCTTGCCTTTCTCCCTTCCAAGTCTCTCCCTGTCCCCTCACTCCTGCTTCCTGGGGTCACCTCCCAAATAAACCACTTGCACCCAAGTCTGGTCTTCAGGCTCTGCTTTCAGGGGAATCTAACTGGGACCAGCTTAGAGTCTCCAGTTTGGGGTATGGAGAGGACTCTATGTATGCTGCAGGACGAGAAGGCCAAGCACTGTTCCCTCCAGCATCCATTCCCTCCTCACCACCCCAACCCCAAATAGACAGTTACAGCATAGCTGGACCACACGCCTGCCTGGGGTAGGCCTGCTAGTGACAGCTCAAGGACGTGCAGGAGACCAGCTCCACCAACTCCCCAGCCTCCCAGTTTGGAGCCAGCTTTGCTCTGCTATCTTGCTTTGCAGAGAAGTGGTGGGTTGTCTGGGGAGGTGGCGGTGATGGTGGGGAAGGCTAGGAAGAGAGCCCACTACTGAGGGGAGCAGGCCCTTTCATGGTGCAGCATGGGGTCTCCAGGAGCCTGGGAGGCACTGTGCAAACTCCGGGTTGGCCCAGGGGAGGCTGAGCACCAGCCTGGAGATTCACCGCCCTGGCCAGGAGTAGCTGGCAGCAAGAGCATACCCTGATGGGCAGGAGAGGCAAATGAGCCTGGAGACCCCAAGGCTGGGAGCTTGACTGAGGTGGGGGGGGCGGCGCTTCAAGCGCCTGTTGAACTGCCACACCACTGGAAGTGGCTTATCCACCAGGCGATTCCCTCCTTAGCCTACTCAGTGCCTTTCAGGTGGCAGGTACCGAAATCAGTGCAGATAGAAATGGGAGTACCTCAGCTACTGGGGAGGCTGAGGCAGGAGAATCGCTTATACCCGGGAGGTAGAGGTTGTGGTGAGCCAAGATCGTGCCATTGCACTTCAGCCTGGGCGACAGAGCGGGACTCCATCTCAAGAAAAGAATGGGAGGACCCCCAAATCAAAACCAGTAAATATTCCTGCCACTCAGCAGCTCCCCTTCTTCCCCTCTCCGGAGACATGTGGGGGACTCCTTATTATTGTCTTTGTGGCAATTGATCCTGGGGCAGAGGAGGGACAGAGAGAAAGACAGCTCAACTTGGTGTGGTAGATCACAGATTATGTCCTGATTGTAAACGTCCTGACTCCTGGCCCGCCAGCTCTCCATGTGGCCCCCTTCCCCAGACAACCATCTCCGGAATCTCCTGCCGCTTCCTCCCCTCCACCTCCCAAATGCCCCTGCACTCACCCCCTCCCGGCCCAGGCCTGGAGGCCTGGATGGCGACCATATGTTTAAGATGCTCCATCGCTGCTGCTGAGAGCCAGAAGAGCTGTTTGGGAGAAGGCACTCGGTCAAAGCTGTGTTTATATACACAGGGCCACATCTTTTTATTATGCATAATTACACACTTCTTAATGTACAGCCATTGCGAGCCATTTTTCCTTCCTCTGTGAAGTCACAGCATAGGCGGGTGTGAGTCTGGCTGGTTGGGGACCGGGAGATAGCTGCTCTTCTCTCCTTAACTCGGGGGCACTGAGCCTGGAGCAGGCCTGCTCCCTCTGACAGATAAGCATGTGAACTTATTCTGACCCAGAGAACGAATTCTTCCAAGGGGATCAGGGGGGCCGGGACACAATGGTACAACGTGGAAATGTGTGGATTATGACATGAAACCCTCTGTCTCTTGTCTTTGAGTCAAAACACTCCTGCCCTCATCCCGAAAGGAAATGTTAGTTCCTTCCTACAAAGCATTGTTTCACATCTGTGCTCAGCGGTTCTCTTCTTTCTAAATTTCACAAACTTAGACTTTGAAAACCTGACAGGGTAATGCATGGGGACCGTATCCTTAGAGTAAAAATTAAGCTTTAAATAACCATAATAAAAGCTTTCTGTTTATCTAGCATAGAAGTGAGGGAGATCAAGACCTCTGGGGTTCAGGACCTGGGTTCAAATCCAAGCTTCACAGTAACTGTGTGACCTGGGTTTATCATTTCACCAATCTGAATTTCGCTTTTTTTCTTTTCTTTTTTTTTTGGAGATGGAGTCTTGCTCTGTCACCAGGCTGGAGTGAAGTGGTGTGATCTTGGCTCACTGTAACCTCTGCCTCCTGGGTTCAAGTGATTCTCCTGCCTCAGCCTCCCAAGTAGCTAGGATTACAGGCGCATGCCATCATACCCAGCTAATTTTTGTATTTTTAGTAGAGACAGGGTTTCCCCATGTTGGCCAGGCTGGTCTTGAACTCCTGACCTCAGCTAATCCACTCACCTTGGCCTCCCAAAGTGATGGGATCATGGCGTGAGCCACTGCGTCCGGCCTGAAGTTGTTTTTTTTCATTGATAAAATGGGAATAACATTAGTTCCTATATCATGGAAAGCACTCGGCACAGTGCCTGGTACCGTATAAATGCTTGGAAAATGATCCCTTCTCCTAT